AACAAACAAAAAATACCTGGTATATTACTATTCATTTTCATAAGAAATAAAGATAAGTAAGAGTTTGGTCATAGCTGTGCCAACATTTGTTTCAAACATTGTTTATAATATGATAATTTGATAGATTAAAATGGCATCTTGTCTCACTTGTACTGCATTGGTAGCTGTGTGTTTAACCTGGATAGATATTTTTTGTTTAAAATACTTTTGATATAAGGTAGACTGAAAATAATTGGATCAAATGAAATTGTCAGTAACATCTAATTGTGCACAGTTACATGTAAGTTTCATATATTAACCCCAAAGGCCTCAGTATAATAACAATAAATACCTACTTGAGGATTCCTATTATCATCTAAACATAAAATATAATAGAAAGGATATCAGTGGAGACACCTGCAAAACTTAAATTCATTTTACCAGCAATGTATCTGTCACATTCCATGTGCTATAAGTAAATCTTAAATAAGATACAGTCCTGGAATTGAAGACTGGATAAGCAAATATTTCACTAATACTTTCAGAGATCAAATGTTGTTCATTTTATTCTCAGACTACCAAGAAATTTCCTAAATTGACGTAGCCCAACAATGTAGAAGTCTACATGTCAGAATGTTTGGTATCCACAGCAGGAACATTTGGACATGTTAGAATACACTAGAACAAATTCCCTCTCATATTTCCTCCTATATTTCCCTTTTGACTGCTAATTTGCCTGGAAATATCTTCCTAGAATATGTGCTACACTTAAAAGTCAAACCACAGCAGTAATAGAGATTCTTAATTATTTAATTTATGTTGGCCTTCTCTTTACCCTTCATTGAAAAAAAAAGATGTAATAAGGGATTACTTAAATGGATACTAGGGTATCTATGCAATCGTAGGCAATAATTAAACTGTAAAATACTCAATATGGACATCCAGAAATCCAAAAATACCAAACCTAATGAGAGACCTTCAAAAAATGTATGTTCCTAACATTGCACTAGAGTTAAATACCAGGTGTATGCATAATGGCATACCAGACTCTTCTAAAAAAATCATATATTCTTTCTAATACTCACATAGAAGACAAAAATACTATAAAATTTGTTGCATATATCATTGAATTGCATTCATTTTTATCAAATTTATGCTTGTATATATATGTTTTGTGAATGTCTGTATCTATATCATTATATTTATTTTTTAAATATATATTTTATTATATATATAGATATCCATATTAAACCATTATAGAAAATCATTTAAAATATACACCAAAGTTTAATAATACTTACTGCTTAAGAGTAAATGTCAAGTGATATTCTGTTTTTTATGTCTATGTTGTTACAAGAAATTATAAATGAGGGTAACATGAGGAAGGATGGAAATAAGCAAAAATTGAGCTCTATCAATAATTTTAAATCACACATTTTAAATTGAAGATATTCTCTTTCATCCATGGAAAAAACAATTTAAGAGAGAATCCTAACCTTTCTTGTAGATGATTTCTAACCACACTAGAGTAGCTCGAAGTTTTAGCATGCTGAATCAATTCTTGTCAAACGAATCACCAAAGACATTGAATCTATGATAATTTATCAACATTAGTGTGGATCTTTACAAATTACAACAAATTATAACACCTTGCATATTTGGTTTTCACATCTATTATCATTGCCTTTTTCAGTTAAAGAAAATGGCCTATAGACCAGATGTGTGTGACACAATAATTTATAGCAGTATCCACATTCCCCATGTCTTATAATTATTAAGCTCAGTATTTCTCCATTGTGCTGCATATCACCAGAAGTTAACAACTGTGCTTTTTAAATAAAAATGTTTTCATATTACTTTTGAAGACTTTGAACACTATAAACTACTCCTAGCATATAGAATTACTAGAGTATATACCCTCACCCAACAACCGTACATATACAAACTTCAAAAAAAAAATGAAAGCAATTGTAGACTAAATCAGCATCTTACATTTATTTATCATTTATATTAAAGGTTCATCTCAGAGAAAAAAGGAAATTGAAATGGAATTTGTCTTCATATTATTTCTCTCTCAGTTTTTATTTCCTCATGCCATCCCAAAATGTTAGCATTTGATAAAAACCAAAAGTCTCTTGGTTTACAGAAAAATAAATAATACTGATAAGCTGTCTATAGTATTGTGTTAGGGACCAAAAGAAACACTTGCAAGTTGAAATCCATCCATTATCATGGCAGAAAGAAAGGGTTTACCTGTAGAGCACCAAAACAAACTGAACTAGGAAGCTTTCTATTCAAACAGCATGTGCATGACCCTTTTCTATTAATACATACATCCTTTTTTTTGTTTGTTTGTTTTGGGTAGTGTTTCTCAATGGGGAAGGGGTACAATTTTGCACCAGGGAACAGTTACCAACCTAGGGAGATATTTTTTGGCTGTCACAACTTGGGGGTGCTGCTAGCAGCATCTAGTGGGTAAAGAACAGGTACATGGCTAAACAGCTACAATACATAGGGAAGTACCCCAGGAGAATTATAGAGCCCCAAATCACAACAGCACCAAGGTTAGGAAGCCCTGATCTAGAATGTAGTCTTATACAATTAAGACATAAAATTAAGCAAATTATAGCTTTAAGTCCTTTACTCATTAAAAAAGAAGAACACTTTACACACTCCATCTTTAATCTCTCAATCTCATTCTTCACAAGCCTACACTGTATCATATATATGGATTCAAGATAAGTAAGTTTTTTGTGGTCAATAAATTCAGCATGTTTTATCCTACATCTGTTGAAGTGTACATAGATGTTTGGATTCTAAGGACAATTAAGTCAGGTTGAGATGTATAAGTTATACTTCCATCTCTTGATCATCAATAAGTCAAATACAGGACTAGTGGGACACACAAACTTGGAAACATGTGGTTTGCATTCATCAGACCACAAAAATCAATACAAAGCATAATGATGCTATTTATATCAGCCAATGGAAAACTGTACTTTACTATATATAGCAACTTTAATTAAAAATTTATAAAGTTGACTAAGTGACTCATTCATTCTCACAATTTCACTATATCCATTTGAAATGGATCATCAAGGAAAATAATAAGGCTCAATTTGCACAATATGTAGACTTTATTTAGAGTACTGGTTGCTATTGCCCATGCTTGCAACTGCTACAGCTAATTATATTCAGCATGCACTGAATACAGTTACAGCTAGAGTTTTCTGTCACTTACTTTCCTTCTACTATTATATTCTCTGTTGATGTTGAGTTATCTTCAGCTGGGCATTATGTTGCATCTAAAATAGCAAATCCTCATTTTCTACCTTCCATTGCTGTCAGATAGGCAATCAATCTGGACCATTGGTATCATTTTCTATTTGTTTGATTTCTTAAGTTAGCTATCACTGTGACAAAGCATAAGTACTATGGTTCATAAAATACTTATCTACCAAAGCCCTTTAAGTGAATGTCTTATGAAGTGAGTAAGTGGTTTAGCTATACCAGGTTAATTTATTATCAGGATATCTGTAATTAAATACATAACAGGAGACTTGAAAGAAACTGCAATGATGATTGGTATTAGGACCAGAGTGTTAGGCAACAGAACTAATTCTCCCCTAGTATTACATCCTGCTTTCCTTCTTGCACATCTAACAAGGTATATACAAGATCTAGTCTGGACCTCAAACTCTTGATTTAGAAGTATTTTCCCTGATAATACAAGTACACTAAAATAAAGGACAACAATTACTGCAGAAGCAAAGCCCCCTGCTTTGAAAAATCAGTAGGTGATCCCAGAGTGGAAAATAAAGGTTTGAAAACACAGTCAGAGCCTATAGTTAGTGTTTTTTTTTTTTTTTTTTTTTTGGCTGCATAACAAAATCTTTCTCTGATCTGTCTCTCGGCTCAAAGCAGTGATGCCATCACCTGAGCAAACCAAAGACCATAATACTTTTAGCTAATATTTGTATTTATTTATTTTTTGACTCCCAACAGGGGGGAAAAAAACAAAGAGAATTTTTATTGAATATTATATTAAATACAACAGATATTGAAATAAAATATTTTAATAACCACAGCCAATAAAATTCCATTTTTTTCACCTGTTACATATGAGAGGCTTGCCTAGTTTCACATCTGTACTCACAACACACACACTCGTGCCCACTCACAGAGACACACACATGCAATAAGGCATAATTTTACCTTGTTGTTAAGATATGAAAATTAAGACACAATAATAGTTATTTCCATGCTCAAACAAATATGATTCCAGAAGTTGAGAAAGGGAAATGGATGAGAGTTAACAAACATAAGGGTATATACTAAATAAAGTGTGTTGCTGATCACAGGAGCCTACCTAATTTCTTTTCATTCATCATTTATAGTGCCCTATAGATGAAGCAAAAGTTTCATCTTAAGCCTTAATAAGCATTTATGGTAGGAATTCGTGTGAAGAAAAAAAAAAAGGATGAAAGGAAAAAGAACGAGGCTTTCCCTGCTGCAGTTTCAGTGCTCGGATATCACATAATTTTAGAGGATACTGGAAAGGCAATAATTAAAAAGCACTATTGAAAATTCAATTTCAATTTCCCTGTTTCGATTCTGACTATGCTTTCCCTCACTTTTACAGATAGACATAAATGACAGCTTATCCCTATGCCATCCCTATTCAAATGTGCCTTGCAGAGTATCGTTCCAACTTCTTCAGGGGCAGGGAAGATAACAGCACATCCACAGATAAACATAAACAGACACGCAGCGGGATTATGAGACCCACATTCCATAGGCTTTATGGCAGCATTCCTGCATAATAAAACACGATTTTATACCAGCGATAAGGCTGCCGGCACCAGCTACAACTTTCCCATTAAGCGCTAGATCCTGTGAAATCCACCTGAGAGGAGCATTTCACCAAATATTGTTTTGGCTCAGAACAGGGTAAGCAGCCCCACTGCACAGAAAAATATTAATGTCACTACAGAGTAAAGTGGCATGTATCGAAGCCTTACCTTGGCTGACTTGCCCTAACTGGTGGAAAAGAACTTAATATATGAGAAGCAAAGAGGGGACTTTCCCAGAGCTCTGGGCACAGCTGCTCGCGGTCCTCCTCGGTAAGCCCAGACTCAGGCTCAGCGCACCTCCAGCCCCGGGCTCCGAGGCTCTGTCTCTGCAGCTCCCGAGCGCGCCTCTGATTGGCTGGCAGCGCCTGTCTGCCTGATGCTGTGCTCTCCCTGTCTCTCCTCCTTCCTCTTCTCTGGCTCTCTCCGCTCCCTTCCCCTTCTGCCTCCTTCTCTCTCCCATGCTCCCCCCGCATCGCACACACTTTCGGGACTGCACACATCCTACAAGACACAGAACGGACACCCTTTAGCCCCCTCAGCAAGGTCATGTGGAAAACGATGCAATCAATACTACTAATAACAACAAATAAAAGCCCCGATCACAACAGCAGCATCTTGAGTACCAGATCTCTTGGAAAATGACGGCCAGGACTCCGTGACAGTTTAGACCATCACTTCACTGCGGGGGAGGGGACACTGGGGGGCGAGAAGGGGTTTGACTGTCAGATGGAGTGGGAGTACACACCGGGAGGGAAGGAGAAAAAGCAGACAGGACAGGCGCTGATGTGGCAAGCCGGTAATAAATTTTCATATTTCCGTGCAAAGTCGTCACAGCCTGCTAAACATTCAACTGCTGGCTCATTCATCAGTGATCCATAGTCCGGTGGTAGCCATGAGATTTAGCTTGAGTGATGCCCTTTAATGTCTTACCCCAAAGTACTCAAGGCATTGGAGGGTTTATATTAGATGGAGCTTCCCCTGGGAGGTCAGCATTTATATTTGTGAAGATGAATAGGAACTGCAATGCCTTTACAACCCCCTTTGCTTGTGCCAGGAAACTAACACACAGAGGAACTTCTCACCTCTTATTACTCCAGAATATATTAAATCGATTTGTAGTGTACATAGTTTTTGATAACAGGGATTTCAGGCCTGATTGGCTGTGTTCAAAATTGATGTGGACAGCTGAAACAACTTCAGTACTTTCTCTCAGCACGAAGTCACCCACAGTCACCCATTAAGAACACCAAGCATTCCCATTTAAAGTAAACAAGTGTAGAAGTTTATCTAAATTGAGTGGCTATTCCAAGGGTCCCTTGGCAGATGTATTAAGAATTATATAAGACCCTTAATCATTGCAAACAGTAAGAGAACAGTATTACTTTTTTCTGCTTAGTTGATAAAACTACAACATCCATGTTTGGAGGTTTAAAGGAAGAAAAAGGTTTAAGGCCAAGAGATACAGTGTAATGGAGAGTGCAGGCTCTCTAAACACCAGGAGACATGAATTCAAATCCTCGCTCTGACTTTTCTCTATACCTGTGTAAGCTTTTCCACTTCTCTGATCCTTCAAAGACTTCTCTTTAAAATCTAGAAGGTAATGCACATATCAGAGGGGCTCTGCAAAGACTCAGTGAAAATCTGTGTAGTTGTTCCCAACCCATGGTAAACTTCTGATAAAGATTACTTAGTTTCTAACCATTCCCCTTTTTTCTTCTCCTGCCCCGAGAAAGGCCAAAGAGGTTGAGAAGATAAAGTAGTGTTTCTTGGAAATTCAAAGGGCCTCTAGTATAGTTATATTTGACAATCTTTATTTTGGTTGAATGATGTGAAATGTGGAGGGATTAAATTTGACTTAGGGTTTCATTTTGTCTAAACAAACCAACAGAAACAATGAAGGAAGCACTTGAATTGGATGATTTTTAATTTTGAAGGGATTGCATATTTCAGCGTTTAGTTGCTCCTATGGAAAATGTTAGAAGTCAATTAGAATTTGGAAATTTCCAAAATCTGAAGTCCGAAATAAAAGTTGAATAGAAACAATAGCATCAGAATAATAAACCAATGTTAAAAATTATGCTTCATATATCCTTTCTCACTCAGCTTCTGATTTAAATGAAGGATTATCTTTGCATTGTGTCCATACACAAATTCTTTTTTCATTTCAGTTCTTGAAAGAATTATTAAAAAGAACACATTTAAAGTCATTCTATATTGATGAATCTATAAGCATACAAGTAAAGGAATAGTTATTCAAAAATAAAGAGAAAATTTGGGTCTGTTAAGAGGTCATATAGTTTAATTTTTGAAATTAGCATTATGGCATTCTCTAGAGAAGCATAACTCTGTTTATTTGACTGCCTCTAGTTCAACAAAATAAAATGTTTGTTTGCCAGCTTGCTACTGAAGCATTAGCTGAGACACCAGCAATGAGTATCCTAGGGACACACTTGAAAACAAAACATGTTTTGCTAACCTCCTTGGTGGTTTTCCCTGGATAAGATTTTAATAAATGCGTCCAGTAGATAGTCATAAGGGAAGTCAATAGGTACTTGCTCCTGAGTGGGATGACATGCAGAGGTAATTGTCAACATCCCCAAACAATACAATCCATTTCTTAAAAAAAATAACAAATTTACCAATGAAGGATTTGTATCTATGAAATTGGACTCAGATTAAGGGCTCTAGATTTTCCATAACCTAATGATACAATGTACACTGGATTTAAATGATTTCTGAAGTTTGATATTCAGAAACTGTGCCAACTTTCAATAGCCATAGAATAGTGAACCTGTTGGCTACTTAGTGCATCTCTTATATTATCAGGTTAAAAAAAAAAAAAAAAGAAAGCAAGTAAACCAAATGTGGAACATGCTGGTTGGGGAAAGCCAGGTGGTAGGCAGGTGCTTATTTTCTCTTTATGTCAAAGATTACTTCAAAAACGTGGACAACGTATCAGTCAGCAGAATTTATTGCAGAACTAATCTCTGAAAGTGAAAGCATGGACATTTATGATACCGAGCCCCCACTTATGTTACCTTGAGAGAGTTATAAAAATCATTTTAGCTGGTGACAGAGAAGCATCCAACACACGATTGATGCTGGCCAGACTATCGAAAGCGGAAAGATAAAATTGTCATGCTAAACTGTGACCATTTTCTGAGAGAGAGACTCAGGAAATTGTCTCTTTAGATGTCATCTAATGTTCAGTTTTAACCTGAAAATTCAGCAGGCTATGTAATGTTATCAAACCAAAATAAAGAAGGAATGTAGAGGAAATGTAGGCATACGCTTGTTATAACCCAGCCTTTAGAACAGTCAACTAACTGCACAAACATGGTGCATAAAGCTGTTGTTCATTTTTAACAGCTTTATTGAGATGTCATTGATATATAAAAAGAGCGCACATATATAAGGTATATTTCTTGATGTTTTGATATACCATATACATTGTGAAATGATCACCACATTTCAATTAATAACATATCTAATTCCTATGCTTAGTTATTTTTGTTTATAATAATGACATTAAAATGTGTGATCTGATTTCTATGTGACAAAAAGAAAGCTGGTAAAAATATGAAGTAATATGTAATTTTCTTTGCAACAATTAATTTTATGTGTTGGGTAATAAGTACTACAGTTTGCATATTTTTGTTAAAAGAATAAATGAGGAAACTTATATTAATAAAAATATGATCTCTAATTTTATTATTAAAGATAACCTAATGAAGTTAACCTTTATTCATTTTGTTGACACACTTCAAAGTAAGAATTGCAGAGCACTAGCAAAACATTGTTGCAGAAAAATGAAAGAGATCTATCAAGAATGCTTCAAAGATAACTATATGTGTAATTCTAGAGATTAGCATCTCCCTTACAATATTAGATTAATGAATGTACTTCTAAAATTTTTTCTTCAATGAATGTAAAATATCAAAAAATTAATAAACTTATTTGGATCTAATGGATAGTATTGATAATTGACCAAGCAAAAAGTAAAATTTATCAACTTCTATAGTATATACATTTCATTTTTATAAAATAGATAATTATTACACTACAAATTTTAGCACAAGAATGATGAGTTCCAAGATAAGTGACGATATATTAAATTATGGACTCTAGTTAAAAACAATTAAAATGTTTGGACATAGATCATATAAAGGACATACCAGAATTTTTAAAAATCTCATATACTATTGGTATATGGTGGATTTGGTGGAAAAAAGTAGTGCACAAAGACTGTAGTCAAGCAAACATTTTCCCAACGTTCAAAACTTGAACGAATATGGATTCTATAAATTAGAAATGATTGAAATAAATGTAGAATGTGGAAAAGTTATAGGGTGACATTAAAGAGATGAGCAGACCACTAAGAGAATATAACAGCATCACTTGAGTCTATGTCACATTCACAAATAAGTCATTTCAGAATAATCCCATTGCTTTCTATGACTGACATGCCAGTTTTACAATAGGAGAAATGTATATGACATGGTCTTTCTCTATGTCATCATTATATCTCTCATAATTTCATTATATCCCCAATGGAGAAGTTTAAGTACAATTATTTGCTGTAACAATAGGTTAAGCAACCATACACACGTGTTTGGAAAAATGGAAGTGCTCTCCAAAGGAAGGTTTCCAATAATAAGCTGTAAGCTGTAGAGCTCCAACAACCTTCCCTAACCATTGGCTTATGAATACCAACATAATCCCTGGGAAAAAACTTACAAGAAGCTAATCTATTTGGATGAAGAACTAGAAAATTATTAAAGGATCTTGAAAAACTTGAGTGATATCTCAAATATAACAAGATAGAAATTCCATAGCTGGGTTAAAAAATAGAAGTGTATGAAATAGATGGTAGCAGAGACAAGTCTTAGACTCAAAACTTATGAATAAGACATAAGTATTTCGACTGGCAATAATTTTGATATAGTCAATTATATGACATAATTATCAATATAATGTATTAGGGATCCTTAATAAATACAAAGCATCATAACGAAGGTGGTAATGACATTATTGAACACTAAAATTTTGGAAATGTACCTGGAAATACTCATTGACGTAAAAATGACATTTTAAGGATATTATAGCTAATTGTGGTCCATTTTAATTAATTGATATTTTTTGTTATCCACATCATGTTGCATTCATTCAGTTGACAAAGCTAGTACCATCTCTAAGTCCTCTATTTTCTTCACCCCTGGATGACCCCCACTTTTTACTTTCTCTGTAGCCACCATTGCCTTATCCATCTTTTAAGAGTCAGAACAAAGAACACCTCTTCTGAGAAAGTACCTTGTTCCAATGGATTTCACAAGTCTCTACATTTTTGAGGCTCTAGAATATTTTTAAAAACCTGCAAATAGGTCATTTTACAAAATTATGGTACAGTTACAAGGAGAATAATATAGTAGTTAAAAACAAAGTATCTAGAAGCAAACAAATGTGGGGAATTACAGAACTATATGTGCTTAGTGCCCTCATCAGTAATATGGCCATAACAACATTACCTATTGTATTGGTCAAGGTTCTCTGAGAAACAGTGCCATTGGAATACACATGAGATATCTAGAAAAAGATTTGTGTGGGAATGGCTCACATGATCATGGGGACTCAGAAGATCCCTGATATGCACCAGCAAGTCTCAGGCCTAGGAAAGCTGGTGGTGTGGTTCTTACAACAGGAGAAATGTATATGACATGGTCTATGTCATTATTGTATCTGTCATGATTTCGTTATATCCCACATGGAGAAGTTTAAGTACAATTTTTTGCTTTAACAACGGGTTAAGCAACTATACACATGTGTTTGGAAATGTGGAATTGCTTGCCAGAGGAAGGATTCCAGGAATAAGGAAACCTTAAGGACAGAGAATTTCCAAACTTTAAAGGACCAAGGACCAGGAGCACTATTGTCCAAGGACAAGAGAAGATGAATACCCCATTTCAGGTACAGAGTAAATTTGCCCTTCCTTTTTGTTCTATTCAGGCTCGCATTGGGTTGGATAATGCCCATCCACATAGGTGAGGTCAGTTTTCTTTATTCAGTCTACCAATTCAAATACTAATTTCTTCCAGAAACATCCTTAGAGACAACCAGAAATGATGTTTTAACCAGCTATCTGATCATCACTTAGCCTGGTCAAGTTGAGACATAAACTATCATGCCTATCTCCAGATTTCATGCAGACTTGAGTCTTTTATTATTATATCTGTTTGCATATCTGTCTCCTAATTGAATGCAAGCTACTAATGTCCAACTGGTATATGGTATGTCTTGATGCAGCTCAGTGTAACATAGGTAACTCTAGATTGGAGTTGGCAAATATAGGGTTAAGCACTACACTGACCACTCATATTAATACTGAGTTTTATAACCAGGTTGTTTTACTCTCAGAACATGCTACCTCACTTGTAGACCAGGATACCCTCACGTGATAAAGGTGTTGCAAGCCTTAAAGAATTTTATACATGCAAATAGGCTAGGACAGATCTTGGCATAAAAAGACTTTCAATAAAGTTTAGTTGAATCCCAATTGTAAGAGCTCAGTAAATGTTTACTATTAATATTATAAATCATATTTGCATTTTGCTGCTTCATTTATAGCAGAAAGAGGCAAGTTACAAATAAACAAACCCTTACCTGTGAATTTTCCATTAAAAGAGAAACTACAGCTTGCATGGAATATCCTGGGGACAGCACTCAGTTCAAAGTCCCAAATCTGTATTTACTTTTTTGGTGCTATATAATGAAAATTGACATTTAAATGACCCTGAGGCATTGTAAGATTCTTAACCATCACAGAAATAATAATACTTAGGATACAATATTTATGGTACCAGAAAATAGGTAAATATTTAAGATCATTTTTAGGACATTGGTTTACAAAAAGTACAGGTTATTTCATTAATATTAATATATCAGAAATTCTGGATGACCAAATCATTGATCTTTTCAGAACTATGTTCAGTTTTCTAGTGTGCATTCATGATCATCCAAGAAAGAACAGTAATATACAGTAACTCAAGCTTATTATTGTTTTTCCTAACATCTTATGAAAGGCTTTGAAAAATGATGCATATATCTTGCCTTTTAAATTTTAATATATCAAATTTTCTATGTCACTACAAGTTTTCATCCAATATTTTATTTCTTTCTTTCTTTTCTTTTCTTTTCTTTTTTTTTTTTTTTTTTTTTTTTTGTGAGACAGAGTCTCACTCTGTTGCCCAGGCTAGAGTGCCCTAGTGTCAGCCTAGCTCATAGCAACCTCAAACTCCTCGGCTCAAGCAATCCTCCTGCCTCAGCCTCTTGAGTAGCTAGGACTGCAGGCATGCACCACCATGCCCAGCTATTTTTTTCTATGTATATATATTATATTATATTTTATATTATATATATATATATTTCTTTTTAGTTGGCAAATTAATTTCTTTCTATTTTTTTAGTAGAGATGGGGTCTTGCTCTTGCTCAGGCTGGTTTTGAACTCCTGACCTTGAGCAATCCTCCTGCCTCAGCCTCCCAGAGTGCTAGGATTACAAACATGAGACACTGTGCCCAGCCTTATCCAATATTTTCAATGTTACCAGTATATTGGGTCATCACTGGGATACAATGACATAGAATAGAGCTATATCTCACTGTACCTTTTAGCTTTCATGGGCCGTGGTGTCTCTCCTCTCCTCTCTCACTGCCACTCAGCTCGCTCAAGGACTGGCCTCCACGCGCGCCTCGCGCATATCACCAATAATATTATATATACTGCTAATGGTTCCTTTATCCCTTAATGAATACAGTTATATATATCTAACACTTATGCCTATTCCAAAAGATGTATATTCATATATATGATGTAGCATAAAAACATGACAACTTTCAATTTTACACCTATGGGTGCTGTCTAAAAAATGCGTTTATACTATAGAAGTATAGCAAGGCTTATGATGTCTTCAAACACATTTTATTAAGTAAAAGTATCTAACGATATATGACGTTACCATCATCATAGAGAGAATCTTCCCTACATGTAGAAATTCCTTTGAATGCCATTTAAATAATGGCCCTTTTTATCCACATATCTATACCACATATAAAAGATGTAAAATAACTCTGGTTCATTATCTTCTTGCCCTCAATATAAATTGCTCATATTAGATATTGCTTATCGTCGAATCATACATGATAATAAACAACTAGATAAACTATTTGCCATTGTTGCTCATGACTCATTTTGCTGTCTGGCATGTGGATCCATAAATTGTCCTCTGAATCGCTTATGGCTCGCGCTTATGGTACTGGTCTAGCAGTAGTTGTTCTCAGAGCAAAAATTTATACATTGTAGTTTCCTTTTAATATATACATAGATCGAGCAATCACCAACTATGACATAATACTACATTTAATATGTTACCTAATCTGTTTTAAATACTTTTATCTGGCAAAAGGGGGTTTGATAACTAGAAATTAAATATAGACTTAGGATCCTCACAAAAAATACAAGCAAGATGAATATCTATTATCTTAGTCTGCAAATAAAACTGGTGGGCTTATTGCCACGTATAGACAGAAAGGTTTTCATAATAACGGTGCTAACACTCAGAAACAGAATTATGTTTCCGTTATCTAAAAAAGAAAACGATCAAAA